GACAGTTTATATGTTAAGGGTAAGCAGGATCGTGGAAGGAAGAAAGAGAAGGAGGGATCTGGAAGGCGAAATTCCAGATCAAAGTCTAGAGGCAAAAAAAAAATTCATTGCTACAAGTGCAAGGAGCCAGGTCATATGAAGAGAGATTGTCCAAAGCTGAAGAAGTAGATTGGGGAGAAAGGTGATACTTCATCAAAGTCTGTAAATGTGGTGCAAAGTGAAAATTAAGATTGCAGTGATGTCGGCCGTTTTATCGTTTATTGAGGATGAATACCGAGCAATGATTTTATTGTGTTCATTGTCTTCTTCTTATGAACATCTGGTGACTACTCTGACATATGAGAAAGAAACTATCAAAGTTGATAAGATTACTACAGCATTGTTGGCTCACAACCAACGGAAGCAGAATGCAGGGGAAAGCTCTCATAGCGACAGTTTATATGTTAAGGGTAATCAAGATCGTGGAAGTAAGAAAGAGAAGGAAAGTTCTTGAAGGTGAAATTTCAAATCAAAGTCTAAAGACGAAAGAACGATTCATTGCTACAAGTGCAAGGAGTCAAGTCATAGGAAGAGGAATTGTCCAAAGTTCAAGAAGCAGGCTGGAGAGAAAGGTGATGCATCATCGAAGTTTGTAAATATGGTACAGAGTGACAATTCAGATTGCATTGATAGTGATATGTTTTTTATTTAATTAATTCAGTTCATGGATGCATGGATTATTGATTCAGGGTATTATTATCACATAACATCTAACATAGAGTGGTTTACTTCATATATGTTAACTAATTCTGACTCAGTTCATCTAGGTGATGATAGATATTGCAATATTGTTGGTATTGGTGAAGTCAGAATTCAGATGTATGATGACACTGTTAGAACATTTATGTGATGTCAGACATATTCCAAATCTGAAGAAGAATTTGATTTTCATGGGCACTTTATATAGAAATGGTTTTATTCTTAAAACAGATGAGGATAGTGAAATCATTAGAATTGTTAAAGGTGTACTAACTATGATGAAAAGAAAGTTAATTGCAAGTAATATCTACAAACTGTTGGGGAGTACAGTTGTAGGTAGATTTCATTTTGTGGAGTCAGATGATGATAGTAAAAATTTATGACATATGCGTCTGGGTCATCTTAGTGAACGTAGGATGACAAAATTGTATAGAAGAAACTTGTTGCATGGTGTTAAAAGCTGCAAGTTCGATCTTTGTAAGTTTTGTGTTCTTGAAAAACAGATTATAGTTAGTTTTATGACTGGAAAACACAAAATTGAAGGGATTCTTGATTATATGCATAATGATGTATGGGGTCCTTCCAGGGAATCATCATTGTGAGGATCTCAGTATTTTATTACATTTATTGATATTTTTTCCAGGAAAGTTTGAGTGTATTTCTTGAAACAGAAATCTGAAGTTTTCTCTAAATTCAAGTTGTGAAAAGCTGAGGTGGAGAACCAAACTGACAGAAAGATTAAATATTTGAGATCTGATAAAGACACAGTGTACACAGATTCACAGTTTCAGAAGTTCTGTGATGAGCATGAGATTCAGAAACATTTTTCAGTGTGCAAGACACCACAACATAATGGTGTGGCAGAAATGATGAACATGTTTTTAACTAAAAGGGCAAGATGCTTGAGACTGGATGCAGGGCGTCCTAAGAGTTTCTGGGCATAGGCCATAAATATGACATGTTATCTCAGTAATAGATCTCCTCGGGCATCATTGGGTGGCAATTTTGCAGAAGAGGTATGGACAGGTAATTCTGTTAATTTCGATTATTTACGAATTTTTGATTGTCCTGTTTATGTGCATATATATGAAAGATCAAAACTTGATTCAAAATCCAAGAAGTGTATTTTTCTGGGCTAAAAGAAAAGTGTAAAAGGATACAAGTTTTCGGATCATATTGCAAAAAAGATGGTTATCAGCAGAGATCAATTTTGATGAGCAGTTCATGTTGCAGTAGAATCAGGACAAGATGCAAGGGAACAATTCCAGTTCAGTTACAGTGCAGATGGATCTAGAACAACATCGACTAATAACTGAGACAGTTGAAAGTTTAGAACAAACACCTGGTGATTCTAATACAGTTGAATTGCAGAATCACACTCTTGTCAGAGATATGGAGAGACGCATCAATATAAGGTTTCCTAGCAGATTGAGTTATGAAGATTTAGTCTCTTGTGCACTTCTTATCAGCAGCAATGATCCAGCCACTTTTCAAGGAGTTATCGCTATCTAGGAGAAAGAGAAATTGATGTGTGCAATGGTTGAAGAGATGGAGTCTTTGCAGAAAAATTGCACATGGGGAGCTAGTTCAGCTTCCTAAGGGAAAGAAGGTTATTGGGTGCAAATGGTTGTATAAAAGGAAACCTATAATATCAGAAAAAGTAGAAAAAAAGTTCAAGGCTCGACTGTTAGCAAAAGGATTTTCGCAGCAGAATGGGATAAATTATGATGAAATCTTTTCTCCTGTGGTCAAATATACTTCAATCAAAGCAGTACTTGCATTAGTAGCTATTTGGGATTTGTATTTGGAGCAGATGGATGTTAAAATTGTTTTGTATGGTGATTTGGAGGATTAGATTTACATGGAGCAGCCAGAAGGGTTCACTCAACCTGGACAGGAGCATCTGGTTTGCAGATTGAAGAAATGGTATAAGCGGTTTGACTCTTACATGATGCAGATTGGCTACAGGCGATGTGAGTATGATTCTTGTGTCTATGTGAAAAGTCTTGATGATGGTTCTATGGTTTTTCTGGTACTGTATGTTGATGATATACTGCT